AGATCCTATGACTGTGCCAACTGTTGACCTAAGTTCAACACAGTTCTTTCCTCTCACTGTGTTGCTATCCCCTTCCTACCTCAGTGGTTCATGGGAGTTCTTCCCAAAGCTGTTCAATCAATGGCAAAGGAATTTTCCCAGGTAGAAAGATAACCTTCAGTCAAGAATATATAAGAAGACAAAATAAACACATAGAACAGCTCAAGGATAATTAATGACTAATTTATATTTTTTATGAAACAAAGTATAAGATAAAACTCAAAGCAAATTTATTGAGGCTTTTGTTCAACTTGAGTGTATAATTTATGCTAACACTGAATCTGATTCACGTAAGTGTAATTGATAGGGGTGATACTGTTTACAGAGGAACTCTAGTGGCATAGTGGGTAAGGCATTTGGTTCAACCCCATCAAGCTGCTCTGTGAGAGAAAGTTGAGGCAATCTACTTCTGTAAAGATTTACAGCCATGGAAACCCAATGGGGGTCACTATGAGTCGGAATCAACTCAATGGCAGTGTTTTTTTCTTTTTTTTTTTTTTTTTTTAATGCTCTTTACAAGGAGCCTTGGTGACACAGGGTTAAGTGCTCAGCTGCTAACACAGAGGTGAGTAGTTCTAACCTACCAGCCACTCTGCAGGAGAAAGATATGGCAGTTTCATTCCAGAAAGATTTACAGCCTTGGAAACCCCCATGGGGCAGTTCTACTTTGTCCTATAAGGGTCACTATGAGTCAGAATTTCACTAAATGCCTATGGGTTTGGTTTACGCTTTTCATATTTTGCATATTAAGTATCAATATAACAGTTTAATTGAAGTTTACTGTAATAAAATTAGTTCCAAGGTTTAACAAATGTATACTGAAATAATTTGAATTTTCTCTTATAAATAATTGTAACTGGAAATCTTTACCCAAATTAGTAGTAAGGTAAAGGTTTATTTTATAAGTTTTCTAAAACAGCTCAGAAGCTCTAATCCTTATTTCTAATGTTTATTTAGGTAAGTTTATAGCATTATCAGAAGCTTAAAAGCAAAGATTAATGAATCACCAGGTAACTCTGGAATTCAAACTTTTAATACCTAGGTTTGCATAACTAACTATACTTTTTCTCAGCTTAACTGAGTATTTTTCAATGAAATATAGTTTTTGTAACACCTTGTTCTGGACATCAACATTTTAGTTTTAGAAGAAAAGATTAACAGACTAAACAATGAATTCCTTTTCCTCTGGAAGGGTTATACATACGCATATTTTATACATATGTATACAATTCAATGCCATCAAGTCGATTCTGACTCATAGTGACCCTGTAGGACAGAGTAGAACTGTAGCATTTGCAAGGCTGTAAATTTTTAAAGAAACAGACCGCCACACCTTTCTCCTGTGGGTTTGAACTAGGATTTAAACTACCAACCTTTTAACCCCTCTCAATTAGCGTTTGTTTAGTAGCCAGATGCCTTAGCCACTGCGCCACCAGAGCTCCTTTACATATTAAGTGTGTGTGTGTGTGTGTGTGTGTGTGTGTATGCATATATCGCTAAAGAGATTTATTTCATCAAGTTTTGTCCTCTTTCCTTTTCTTTTTCCTTTCTTCTGTTCTTTAGGCGGCCTTTATGATGTTGGGATCAAGGGGATTCAGCTGTCTGCATAGGCACATGACATGGTTCAAAAGGCATATAACACTTGGATATAAACTATCTTTCATGTCAGTAAAACATGAAGGACTTGTGCCTTTTGGTTCTTGGTCTCATTTGTGATCTGTATAGCATCTAATGCTCTGTGAACTTTGTTTACATAGTGCCCAACATTATGACTATGCAGAGAACAGGGGCCTTACACCAAATTTCTCAACACTAGACTGGGAGGGAACGTTAGACTTTGATAATGTACATGTCTTTTAGAAATGGGCACTTAAATTTCTCTATTTCTTCATTTACCTACATGGAGCAAATAAGTGACTCTTGGTCTTAACCTGTCTACTGTAATCAGTTCCTTCACAGAAGCTTACATAGTCATTCCCAAGAAGTACTTGAAATACATTCTGCTTTTAAAATGGGTCTGTGTGTGCTTTATCAGTATTTCCATTAAGTTTTTAAACTTACACTATGTATCAGGTATTCAAGAATAGGTGTCTTGGGTTCTAAGAAAGTATTCAGCCGAAGTATACTTTCTCCCTGCATTCCTATTAAAGGTGACATGGAAAGGTCTGTTAACTAAATGAATGGCATGCAGATGCTTTGCACACCCTTTGGTACTCCTCTCTGCCTTTTTCTCTGTCCTTTCCCCTTTCTCAAGAGCTGTTTTGCAAAAGACTTTCCACTCGTTGTATAATACCACATAACATAAAAATTACCCTACATATTTAATAACATGAAAAAAGTGTTCATGATGATGTTAACTAACATTTTTTGTGCATTGATTCTATGTCATGCATCTTTTTAAAAAGTGCTTTACTTGTAGTAACTCAGATGGTTAAAACTTTTGAGGAGAAAATATTGGTATTTCCATTTCAAAGGTGAGGGAACTGAGCCTCTGATCATTTAAGTAACTTGTCCAAGGTTAGATAGCTGATAAGAGGCAGAGCTAGAATTCATACCGTGGCAGTTTGGTTTCAGAGCCCTTGTTCAGGCATCAGTACATGAAAAAAAAAAAATGCCAAAGACAATCTCTATAAGGTTTTTTATGGAACTAGACAAAAATTTTAAAAGTAATATAGAAAAGAAAATATGATAAAGATAGCCAGTCAAATGTTCAAAAGTTGGAATCTGTAGGGTGGTAGGGAGAGGAAGGGAAGAAACAGCATGTCCTGCCAACTATCAAAATACACTGTTAGATACAGCAATTGTAAAAATACCATACTGTAGTAGAAATCGACAAATTGGTCAGAAGAGCATGCCACTCTGTATGTCCTTAGAGAAGAGACTGAATGCAGACACCTAAATATTAATAGTGATTATCGGTGATTGGAAGGCACTCTCATGGTGTAGTGGTTAAGCCAAGTGGCTAATGGTTAGAACCCACCAGCAGCTCCACTAAGGATAGATGAGACACTCTGCTTCCATAAAGATTTACAGCCTTGGAAACCCTACAAGGGTTACTATGAGTCAGAATCGCCTTGATGGCAGTGAGTTTGGTTTTTT